CCGGATGGTGGCCGCTGACTGCCTCGGTGGAGTGTCCGCTGTGGGGGATGGGACTGTACCGCTTCCTTCCCCTTCTGAGATCCCGTGCTCGGCCCAAGGGTCACTGGTGCTTTAACTCAACCCAAACCTGCAGCTAGATCTTCAGCACTATTTGCCATCTGCCAGGGAGCACTGGTGAGGTCTTTAACCCATTCAGTGCAGACTTCACACATGTCTAAATCATCTCACCCAATTTTTAAATTTTTTAACTGATACATAAAAACTTTACATACTTATGGGGTACTATACAATGTTTCAAAACATGTATATAWCATGTAATGTTCAAATCAGGGTAAACATACCTATCTCTACCTCCAACCTTATTTCTTTTTAGTGAAAACATTCAAAATCTTATCTCCTAGAGATTAAACATATACACTGTACATTATCATCATCTATAGTCAGCTTACTGTGCAACCAAACACCAGAACTTCTTTTTCCTATGCAAATATAACTTAGTATCATTTAATTGACCATTCCTCATCCACCCCCTCCCCTTCCTCCTCTCCAGCCTCGGGAAGCCACCAGTTCTATTCTCAACTTCAATTAGAACAATGTTTTTAGATTCCATGTATGAGTGATATCATATGGCACTTGTCTTTCTGTACATGGCTTATTTCACTTAACAACATAATGATCTCTGGCTCCATCCACATTGTTGAAAATGACAGGATCTATTCTTATTTTCCTAGCGGAATAGTATTCCATTCTGTATAGTTTCCACATTTTCTTTACCCATTCCTCTGTGGATGGGCACATAGGTTGTTTCCATTTCTTGGAAAATAGTGCTACAATGAAAATGGGAGCATCAATGTCTCTCTGACATACTGATTTAATTTCCTCAGCATTTATAACCAGTAGTGGGATATTGCTGGAGCCTCTGGTACTTCTAATATTTTGGAGGAACCTCCATATGTGTTCCACAAAGAATTCACTTTACACAATATGTTACTGTACTATTTAATATTAATGTTCTTGGTGGAATTTAGAATCRTGTATGTAACAGAATCTCTAAAACCACATACTGGACACTAATACTACAATGAATCTATTGCACACAACAAACAAACAAACAAAAAACCCTTTTCCTACTCTCCCTTTTCTAAAGAAGAAAATTAGCAAGTCCCTAAAAACTACTCATATTATAGAGAAATAAACGTCATGAAAATTTTTAAATGGCTGACATAAATGATACATAAATGAACTCCTTTTGTGAGAGAAACATTGAGGCTAATAATGTGCACACCAAATTCAGTCAGAAACCAAAGCCCCTAGTGAGTACGGAGGATCAAGCTGGGAGAATAAACTGGTGATAAAGATGGCTAGGAGGATGGTTTGAATTTTGAGGAGGAAATAATATTGTCACTGGGACCAACCTCAGATAAATGAAAGCGTGGACCTGGTTCTCATGAATAAATGGCACCTGTCCCTTAGACGGGGTTTTTGAGCTTCAGGAAAAACAGTGAGCAAGAATGTTCTATGGGAGTCAGGAGGAGGCTGAGGAGAGCAGTGGCAGCAACTCCTGGGCTGCRCACCGCCCTCACTGCCTGCCCCAGACCCTGATAGAAGGTCCCTTCTCGTCTCTGCGGCTGGCTCCAGGTCCCCACACCTTGTTTGCCCATCTGCTGCGACCTTGCCCCTGGCTGGTTAGGTATGTGGATGTGTTCCAGCCTTCTCATGACAAAATGATGCCTCTCAGTACTCAGCGCTCTTGCCCCAACCTCCCGCCGCCTTCTGGTCCAACTAAAAAGCAYGTTCCAAAGGATTTTGCTCCTCATGCTCCCCATTTAATCTACTCTCCCATTTATGGCACACCTATGAAAACTTCAACTGAGCCCACATATACTACTTATGGTGACTTTGGATATTTATGGTTTTTTCTACTCTTTTGAGGGAAGTAATAACTAAATGATTAGTGACAATATTCATTAATGATGTCATTAATATTAATAATATGTAAGTTCTACATTACAATTTCCAACCTATCTTAATCCACCTGTGTCAATTTCGTTGAAAAATTCACAAAACTGGGAAATGGGACTTCAATGGATTAAAGGAGATCTCCATAATATTTCTCCTTTACCTTTTCAAACCCAGAGGCATTGAAGCTCAGGGTCTCATTACCTCTGTTGTGAACTATTTCAATAACTCACCTTTCAATTCTAGTTACTCTAATTCATCCATTTAACACATGGCTACTACTATATTTCTACATGTATACATTTCTAAATGTATACTTTATTTCTCTGTTCTAAGATCACTATCTCCCAACTGTTCTCTCTGTAAAGTGAACTTACTCTTAACACTGTACCAAAGACCATGGGAATGATTAAACTTTCTAGTGATGTCATTCAGCCAATTTGTTAAAAATAACAAAAACTGTTACTATGAGGCTCTCTTCTCTGATGGTCAACTACAGATACTTAAATGCATTCACAATTAATCCATGTACTGTTTTAAAGCTCCTCCTATTTGCATGAAGGCTTTTAGCAAACAGGGAGAGCATACAAATTCTCACTAGAACTCCAACGTACACAATGCTTTACGGTTTCAGTGGCTAAGTATTGCCAAAGGAGGAATCATTATAAGTATAGAAAACAGACTGGCTCACCTGTGCATCAGCTAGCTGAACAGCAGGAAACCCTTGGTTAGCTTCTTCTACACCTGCCACATCATCCTGACTAGTGCTATGCTGAGAATGTGTCCCATCCAATGTATTCTGGTCACTAGACAAGACAGTGTTGAAATCCGAGGCTGAGGGTATTGTAGGAAGATTGGGTGCAACACCTAACAGAATAAAATTTCAGTAATAAAATGTAAATTATTGTGAATAAAAACATAAAAGGGCACAACAAGTTAGATTCTTTGAAAGTACTATAGTGACATTATCAAACCATTTAAGTAAAAAACATTAGTACTTTCAGGTTATTTTACATAGATGATTGATTTATTAATGAAAATTAAATTTTCAGAAAATAACAGTCATCCTTATACAAAAGTAGGGCCTATCTGTCCAAAATGTAGAATTTTAAAGCAGTAGCAGGCTGCCAAATCAAGTACAGCGGGGCAACAGCTAGGGTCTCTAGGGCAGAAGGAGATAACATAGCACGCTTTCTTTCCTCTGAATACTCTTTATCATTTAACCTGCAGGCAAAGCTCTCATGACAGAGGGGAAGCGTTCCTTCCTGGTTCTCTTGAAATTTAAACTATATTCTCTCTGGATGGTGTGCAACTAGCACCAGATAGAAGCATCAAGCTCTCTTTCACCTTCTTCAGTCAAGGGCCAGTGCTAAGAACCCACTTTCAGTCAGAACCAAGCTTAGCTCCAGAATAAAGGAGGTTCATGCTAGCCAGAAAAAGGGCTGAATAAGTCGTACACATCAACCAGTTTTCATTCTTTCATATGGTGTGTTTGAAGAACTACCTGGAATTCAAATAGCTGGTACATGGATTTTTACCTGCCTTCCTTAAGCAGCATCAAAGACTACTTTGCTATTCTTTACACACACACACACACACACACATACAGTATACATATGTATGTATATGTTATATACGAGAAAATAATATATTAAGTAAACTTGGAAAAACAGAAAAGGAAAGGTAGGTCTTCGTATATTTCTGGATATAGCTACCATTACTTCCTTGGGTAATGGCCTGCCAGTCTTCTTCCAACATAAACATATTCTTTAAAATAAATGGCCCTCCTCTGTCTCTCTCCTTGAGGAAAGGAACCTTACTTTACTCTTCTAGTACTCCTTTAGACTTCACTAAATATTTATTAACTATAAAGATGGTAGGAATAATATTTGTGTCTCAAAGGGATCTGGATCCCTTATGCACTTAGGGAGAGAAAATATGATTCATATAATTATTTTCACAAAGGTTAAAATTGTCTTCCTTTCCAGATGCTTTCAAACTCTCACTGCATGATTGTGTCTCCGAGGGATCTGGGTAATCCAAAAATATTTTCCACATTGTAGGTACATAATGCTAGACTTTGCGTTCTCTTCAATGGCTTCATTTTCTGTTTTGAAAAAGCAACACCGCCACACTAAATGGAAATATTAAACTCTTCAAATTTTACACAACTCGCATCTGATGTAGCTGCCTTTCTACAAGCACACAGGGCAACTGTGACTGCTCACCAACCTTTCTGCTAACTCTGTTATCAGATGCATTTATAAAAGGGGTAATTTTAACCAAATGGTACTTAAATGTCTGACACTTTTTGTCCTCTGAAAAACGGGATTTTGCTGTAAGTAGGTATGCCACTTAGACCAAATAATATGACAATCCAATACCTGTTGGAAGACTGTTGTGTCCTGATTTTGTGACAGGAGATTCTTGCACTGCCCCACCTCGGTTACCCACAGCATTTGACATCCAGTTATAGAAACTCACAGACGATGGCTCAGACAACAAGGGATGCTCAGACAGCATGTCGGTGGCCACTGAATTTCCTAAAATTAAGGTCTTACTGAGCACAGAATTACTCATGCACATAGAGACAGAAAGTATGATTCAGATAATTATTTTCACAAAGGTTAAAATGCCCTCCTTTCCAGATGTTTTCAAACTCTCACTGCATGATRTTGGCATTTTGATACTAAGGCATTAATAAACAGCTTAGTTTTACTTTAACAGGGTAGACATTCTACGTTAGTTAGTCAGGCCAAAACCCATATCACATGCCCATGTTGACTTTAGATGGCACTACAATTTAAAAATATAAACCAACCAAACTTAGGAACAACACAATTGTCTTGTATTTTCTCAAAAATAAAGTGTAATATTTATATGAAAGATTAATTATGTKACCAAAGTATTATATTTTAAGAAAGGTGTTTTAAAAATTCCCCCATAAAAAGTAAAGTTGAAATGGCCACATATAGGAGAGGCACCTGTTCTTGTCAGGGAGCTACTTTTCACAGCTGCACTGCTTCTCTGAGGGGTGCCTTCCAGAAGGTTGTGCAAGCTGGGGAAGCTGCCGGTCAGGTAGCTGAGCAGGCTCTCCTTCCTTGGACTCTCCTTCACTGGCATCCCTGTGCGTCCAACATGCACTGGGGAATCCGTGGCAGTGTCTCCACTGGTGTAGCTCAGAGAATGATATGGATGAATGCCCTAGAAGGAGCAACAAAGCATTCTTTCCCATGCATATAAAAATGACTACAGAGAACTATAACTACCATGACCGCTGCCATTACTGCTAGCAGTTCTGTACACTGATGCCAAAATGACTGTGTCCACCAGGACAGGATAAATGGGAGATACCTGTGAGCAGGTACTATAACAACAATGTTCTGCRGTAATAATAATGTTCCACAGTACATTACACAGGGCCACTTTTATTGTTGATATTATAGTGAAGCATATTGCCTTATTTTAACCATGTATCATTAATTCCCTCCTAAAGGAAGCAACTCAAAGTCCAYAGCACAGCCTGTCGAACGGATGGTGGGAAATCAAATGCTAGTTAAGACCTGGGGAGCAGGAGACAGGGCAACAGAGCTTCAGAAAGTTAGGGGTAAGGTGTTGGTGGAGAAATCTCTATGGCCAGAAGGAAAAAGTGGCCTGATATAATTCCTTCCATCATTGTTTATGTACTGAACCAGCAAAGTAATACCCAGGGACAGTCACCCTTACACAAAAACTAACTAAAAAATATATTTACTGAAAATGATCTGTAACAAGATAGCTACCATCAAAAGCAAAGTCTAGGAACTCACAGAAACTTCATGAATGGAAAGCTATCTACTTTCACCACCTTCCCACAGCTTCTTATTTGAAGTCATCACAGACTCCTCCTACCTGGAAGGAACCTTCTCATAGGAGCAGGAGGTGGAGGCAAAGGCTCACAGTGCTGTGAAACCCTGTGAAGTCCTAACCCTCTGGGGAAAGCAGAAAGGGCTGTATATTTTACATGGAGAAAAGGGGAGGATGAGTGTCCACGCAGGCAGAGACGAGCACTTGCAACATATGAAACACATGCTAATAAAATAATGCATGTTTTGTGCATTATTTTATTTAATCCCCACATTCTCTAAAGCTGGAAATAATTTCTAGCTCACAAAAGAAGAAAATTTACTAATATTACCTACAAGAGAATGGTCAGTTGTAATCCCTAACTTCTTTCCCCAAATCCTTCACACTGCACTTATAATCTGACACTCTGACACCATGAGTCTGTTTTCTTACATCTTAACCTACAATGTACACTATCAAAAGTTTTAGTCTTCCAATATGAAAGGGAAAAATTGGAAATCTCATTTTAATTTATATTTATTTATAAGAGAATACATTTTCACATGTGTACATACATTTTCTGTGACCTGCCTGTTTATGTCCTTAACAATTTTTTTTTCTTTTCGGTGTTTGGCCTTTACTTAGTGATTAGGACAAATTMTTTATATTTTTGGAAAAAAGTATTTTGTCATGTGTCTATTTTGTTTACATTTTTTTCTGTATAGAAATTTTATATTTTAATGTTGGCTATCAATTATTTCTTTTATGGATTCTGTGTATGGAAGTAAGTAGACTTTTTWAAAAACTTTATTTTATTTATTTATTCTTATACAGTGCTAGGGATCGAACCCAGTGCCTCACATGTGCCAGACAAGTGCTCTTCCACTGAGATACTACCCCAGTCTCCTAAATGTAGGTAGACTTTTAAATAAAGAAAGCAAAATTATTAACCATTGATTTCAGCATTCAGAAAAGCAAATGAGCAGAAAAAATGACCTACTACAACACAAGCTTATTAAGTGGCAATCCTCTTCTCGGCACTTTTGAAGTCTAAATTCAGTTACTTCTCACAAAGGAGTTAGCACTGAACCCATCGGGCAGAAGAGGAACCGACAGACACAGGATGCAATGAAGAGCTTATCAGGCACAGAACAGGATTCAAGCCAACACAGTTATTACCAGGGCATGTCGAGCCATTTGGCTACATGCTCTCTCTTATTAAGCATCCTCAGAACTTCTCAAAGCAAAGCCACACAGCCAAAGTCATAAAAACCCTAATCCAAACCATATACTGATCATTCACTGCCTAAAGGGCTTCTTGTTAAAACTGATATTACAAGACCAATAACATTTTCAACACTGAACTTTATTGAACACTGTATTTAATTAAGTCAAAGGAGAGCATGAAGGCTTGAAGTTAAAGCATATCTTATTCAAGAGTAATTACTGACCATACAGTCTTCAAAGAAATATATATACTGGCAGGCATGATAGCACACACCTGTAATCCCAACCACTCAGAAGGCTGAGGCAGGAGGATTGCAGTTGCATGAACAACTTAGAAAGGCCCTAAGTAATTTAGCAAGATCCAGTTTCAAAATAAATAGAGCTGGGAATATGACTCCATGGTTAAGTGCTCCTGGATCCAATCCCCAGTACCAAATAAATGAATGAATGAATGAATGAATAGAAAGGAAGGAAGGAAGAAATATACCTATTTCTTTTAGGATATATATATATATATATATATATATATATATATATATATATATCCTAAAAGCTACTAATCAAGTTCATTTGAACATAATGAATCATTTCAATATTTAGGGGGGACAGCTAATATTTAAATTTGAAATAACAAAATTTTAGGTCTTCTCTTGAAGTCTGAATAACCAACAACAGCAATAACACACCTTTATTTTTAATGCAGAGTCACTATGGGTGTGAGTTTTGGAAAGTTTTCTCATTATTTCAGCTCCCGTTACAGGTCCAGAGCTACCTGGAGGTGGCCGCTGGGCTGTTCCTTCTAGCAGCATTGTGTGTTCACTGACTGTGGCTGAAATGGGTGAAGGAAGAGGCAAGTCAGATATTACCACACCCTTCCTTGAAACATCAACCTCATTGTTCTGGTTGTATAACCACACTCAACTTTCATGATGTGACAAATTAATTATAGAATCTGGTAAAATTTACTCTTTTCTCTCCTTTATTCCCAAATCCCAATCCTCTCACTCAGTCGCAAAAAAAAAAAAAGAAAAAAAAGAAAGAAAGAAATAACTTTTATTCAATCTTTCACATATGACATGCAAATGACACAAACAGCAAATACCAGTTCAATCCTGCTCAAGAAATTACAGACTGTCATGGACTAASAGACACCTATCGGTAATGAGAAAAGATATTCACTGCAGGACTCTTTCAACTTTGAGCATACTTGAAATATTGGAAAATAAATAAAACCCAGCCTATTCCTTATAATACATTCACTTTCTAAACATTTTTTAATGTAGCTAGATAAAATATAACATATCAGTGTTGTGAAATTTTAGGACTACTCTTCTTTCCCATGACTTTTAATATTTTTTCAAAACATTTGTAATAAATTTTCATTGATGTTACATGTCATAATAATAATAAAAATTAACTTTTGGCAAAGAATGAAACAGCACTGAATTAACAGATCTGTAGATTCAGTGTAGGCCTCCAAACTTATTTATGGGAATAAGACAAAGGCACCTTTAAAACCAGATAAACAAATACTATTTTAAAAAGAAAATTTGCAGGTTTCACTCATAACATTTTGTTACACAAAGATATCTTTGCACTGGTAGATTAGGAGAAGGCTATTATATTTCATAAAACTAACTTATATAAATCAGGTCCACAAAAAGATTCTGAAATTACCATCATGTATTTGGATTAATAAAAAGCCATGCTTCTAAATTAGGCCACAATATTTTCAAATCTGGGACACAAATTATTAAAATCATCATTAAAATCATTACGAGTACTGTGCTACCAAGTGTGTACCACYCAGCTAAAAGATATGCTTGTATTAATAATTCATTGATAACTAAAGGAGAAAAACAAAAGGGTCTTGATACCTTGTAAAGTGGCATATTAGCTTTATTTATACAAGATGCACATGACTGAGCATAAAATCAGACAATGATGACTGTAAGAAATATCCTGTTAGAGGTAAGAAAATATGCAGCTGAGGCTTACAAAATTACCTGCATCAAATTCAAACTCTGCTCCATCAGCACTGGTATCACTCTGAAGACCACCCCCATTATCCAGCCCAAGTCCGTCTTCATGCTCATGGTCCACAGTTGCATGAGGTTTCAGGGGCTGAGCTGGTCTGTGTAAGCTGACTCCTTTAAAAGCTGGTGTCACCACAATAAACTTCATCCACTGCCTTGCCAGTGCAACCAAGCCTTTCTTTAAAGTGACCAAAGCAGGAAGTCCATCACTCTGTAACAATGACATGGGTGAATGTCAACTAAAGTAGGAAGTTGCCCTTCAAGTGCTTTGAATACATTTGTTCATTTAAATATCGAAAGCTTCATTTAGAGTGGAAGAAACTAAAACTTAGATGTTAAGCAACTTGTCCAAAGTTACCCAAGATTTCAAGTTGACTGTAGAACCCCTCCAGGGTTCCTGTATTGGAAGCTTGGTTCCCAGAGTGGCAGTGTAGACAGGTGACGGGATCTATAAGAGGTGGAGCCTGGTGGAGACTACTGAGGTGTTGCTCTTTGGATACATTAATGCATTTCTGGAGAGATTCTTCATTCTCAAGATAGGGTAGTTTAAAAAAATTAAGTCTGGCCCCTTCCATCTCTGGCATCTTGCCATGTGATCCCTCCCTCTCACTCACACTCCCGCTATCTTGCAATCCACTAAGGGGTCCTCACCAGAGACACACTTGGGATGTCCTTGAACCTCCAGAACGGTAAGCTAAATAAATCTCCTTGCTTAAGCACCCAACCTCAGGTACTTCATTATACAGAAAGAAAGCTAACAGATGCCAGTCTTTAAATACAGCGCTGCACATTTCTGTCATAAAACAATACAGCAGCAGCAGGTGAAAGAAGACACTAGACATGAGGTGCCACTTTGCCCCACAGGGTGATGATTGTGAATGAAACTTTTGGCTATTTTCCTACTAGCACCTTAATCTAAAGAGAAAACATCTATCTAATTCTTTACTCTTCTTTCCAGTAATTCCTCTTGGTAGGAGAAATAGACAATTCGATTAAGGGGAGCCATTTACTAACTCGGCCCACTTACTTCTAAGAAATACCAGGTCCACAAGCATGCCTCTTCATTTTTACAATCAAGTGACAAGGGCCATCCTGTGCTTCTCCCTCACAGGGGAAGCTACCTGGTGAAGCACCCATCCATAAGAGATGTTGCCATCCTCTCTCTGGTCCAACTCCTCTACCTATGACTAGATGGGCAAGTGTACTAGGGACTTCTCAGTCCTCCACAATCAGGAAGTACAAGAGCTATGCCAGTCTAAATATCTTTAGTTTTTTTGTCGTTTTAATTTTTTTATTCTAATTTGTTATATATGACAGCAGAATACATTACAATTCATATTACACATATTAAAAATCCATTGCTTTGTAGAGGTTCTTGACCTGCATGGCCWGTGGCTTGCCTGGCCATTGATAATACTAAAACTCTGTCTCTAGCTTGGCTGAATATGCTTGGKTATGCTCTATTGCCAAGAGCCTGGAGAAGGAAGGCGTATCCACAAAGCTCTAAAACCTTGATTGTGATATGCTRTATGCTCTTCTACAGGCAGAGAGGAATGATATTTATTTTGCACAATTGTATGTTCTTATCTCAATCCTTAACTAGTTCTTATTAGTTCTTATTTCAGTATACCTTGCTGTAAAATCTGATTCTGGTGATCACTCTCTTGCTTAAACCTCTATTCCTGTAGCTKTTAAGACACAGCTTTCCTGCTTCTCCTGCCTCTCCTTCCTCCACATTTTGTGTAGTTCTATCCAACCCTCCTATTATTCCTTTAAATTTCAGCATTTTGGGGGATTCCATCCTTAACCAGCTTTTCACTCAGTTTACTCCACGGAGCAATCTCATCCACGTCCACAACTTCTTCTAATATGGCTGTGTTGTTAATTCCCTGAAATCAACCATCTGACCACAATGTTGACCA